CCCGCCGAAAGCGTGCCGCGGCGGAACGGCCCGGCCCCCGGGGCAGCCCCGGCAATCTGGGCGGAAAAAAGGGGCCGGCCGCTTCTGCGTTGCCTCGGTTATAGCGAGAAGGGGCCCCATCTCCGTTATCTCAAAATGTCATCATCTTGTCTACGGTCCCCGTACGTTTCTCCGGGGGAGGCGTCTTGCAACGTATTAATAACTTGAAAGGGCAAATCCTCCCGAAATTAAGTGCAAATGCGGCCAGAGCGTACAAAAGGCCAGCGCCCTCGGTCTGCGCGAGGCACGACAGTACTAAAAATACGCTCTTTCCTCGGTGCAGAAGCCTTCAGGGCACTTGGTGATGTTGGTGGGTTTTGGTTCAGTGGCGGGTGGTGCTGAGGAGATGGTGACGCCTGTTCTGTGGCGGGTGGGTTTAGAGGTTGTAGTTTTCAAAAGCAACGAAGTGACTTAGGAGCCTAAGCCCCAGTGAACGTCAGTAACGTGTACGTTATAGGACAGGGATACAGGTTTCACCGGTAGCGTTTCCGAATGTGGCTCTGGTCGTATCAGAATAACCACTCCCACTTTTAGAGGAAAAGTGTTGTTTATTGTTAATGTTTTAGGCATGACAACTCCTGACGTGGATGCTCATACATTCATTCAAGCTTACTCAATGTAGGTTGCGAGGCAGACAGGGAAATTGGTTTAAACGAGGCTTGGAAGCATCCATTGCAGGGTTGTGCACCAGCTCATCTCACTCTGTTGGTACCCCAGTGGAGCTTCCCTGTGTTGAACATGTGCCTCAAGTGGACTGGAGCACAAGCCAGCGAGGCTGGTTCTCCAAAGTCACTTAGGTACTTTCCACTCCCGTTTGCCGTATTAGCACAACTACTCTACCTCATCTTTTGGGCGCAGGAATATAATTTATCCTTTTGCTTCCTCTTTCTTTCTGTCACATCGGCTTCATGATTTTCCATGGAAATTTATGCAGCAGTGATCTGTTGGCTCTTTTTATTTGTCTTTCCACATTTCCTTCTTTTTTTTTTTTCCCCTCCTCTCTATTTTTATGTGCAACGTTAAAATGATGCTCTAAGCAAGATTGTGGTTTTTATACTTAATGCGCAAGTTGCCATTTCTTTCTTTGTTTTTGTGAGATTGAACTGGTATCACCTTCAAACTGTCAAGTCTATGGAGCGCTACAAAGAGGCAATCAGAAATTCATAGTTCAGCTTACATTTA